AAAATTACCACTTTGATGACGAATTATGCAAAAATAATTTTAATCGAAAAATTATTAATAGTCTCTTTTATGTTTCCAGCAATTGATTACTATTAATATAAATCGACGAAGAACCGTTATAAATTATTATTTCTTACTACACATTTACACGGATGTATTTTACTATATAAAGATATGAAATAAATAATACAAGTTTGTAACTAAACTTTGATGAGTAATATCGTTGAAAAAAATTCTCTCGATTATATTTGTCACGCCGACCAAAAAACGTATGACGCGAGTCAAAGAAGAAAGATTCATATTAGCCAAAGACAGCTTGAGAATTTTCTTCACAGTTGTTACAACTCTCGTTTAAGAACGACTGAATAACCAGCATAATATGCAGCGCGTAACAGTCTCCCGAGGAGAATTTAATTACTCCCACCGGTTTTAAACGTAGAAATGCAAACTGAGGTCCGCCAAACTCAAGAATATTTCCATTACATTAAAATTTTCCTTTGAACATTTCTCTCTTAATTATATTCTGTCCTGGGACATTTGATAAAAGATTGGGTACGTAATACTACATACAGAATTGTTAGCTCTATCTTGTGGAGAAACCAAGAGACGTCTTATATACGCGATAAAGATTATATTCAAGTGCGCGTTTAAAAATGCAATAAAATTCTAGGTTTGTTCATTACGATAACTGTCTCTTGAAATGTTGAACTGCATTATGATATTATATTATCCTCAGACATTCCTTAAATAATTAAGTACATAATAATAGATATATTATAATTGTTAGCTCCGGCGAAATTAAATAATGTCTTATACGCAATAAAAATTAGACACCTAACGTATCCAAATGTATATTTAAACTCTAAAAAATTTTTCTATCTTAATATTAAAATAGAAAAATCTTTGTGTCTAATAATTTCTTAGGTTCCCTCCAAAATATCCTTTCAAAGTTTAATATACAATAATGATAAATAAAGATATATTAAATAACATGTGTACACATACTCTCATTGCCTTTAATTTTACGAAGTGAGATGGATTTCAGAGAGAAAATTAGCGATCGCTGATAAAGAAAAACGACGAAAACGGGGAACATCGCATAGAGCAGATTTCACTGGCGATTTCTGTCACTTCCGGACGCGCGCAGACTACCGGAGTCTGAGTTCCCTCTTTAGACAGGGCAGCAGATGTTCTCTACGACATGCCCCCGCGCCAGAGAACTTTCCTCCTCCGAGGGAAATGTGCTTAACTAGCCGTCACCGCCCGATGCTGCCCACCGTTTCGGCCTTCCCACTCCACTCCCTTGCCACCGTTTCCTAAACAAATCTTCCGCCGCGGGGAGAAACAACTCTTCCGTCTTCCTAACTAAGATTCGCAACAAACCACCTCGAGCAACCGGAGCTTTTCTTTCGCGCAATATTTTCCGGCGGTTCTCCAACTAATGAAGTGAGGGACTACGTAATTAACCATCGAAAATACTGGGGTTCGAGTTTTACTTACAATTAGTAAACTCCCACTTAATGGGATTAATTTTCTCGCTTCTTCGTACACTAACTTCGTATACAACGGTAAACATAATTTTATTCGCTCGCGCGTAATCTGAAAATGATACAACGATGTTTAAAAAAAACAAGCCGACGAACCGCCGTGAATAAATCTACACGATATTAACATTAATAAAATTAAAGGCTTGATTAATTTATTATCGCATTATCAGTTCATAAATATATTTGGAACTAGATCCAAATTAAAACTCGGTCAGACGAAGCACTTGAGGAATGAAAATGTGAGAGATTAACTCTTACGTAAAACTCTTACGAAAACAATGTAATCGTATCTCTCACAGTAAAAATGTTACCATTGTATAATTTCACGTTAGAATAAAGGTGCAACTTGAATGCTGTAGCTGCACTAAAAAATGCATTGTTACGCATCTTTCTTTGTAAGCATATATTGCGTTCCGTCGGAGTCTTTTCAATGAAAAGACCTCGCATTAATTCAGGTTATTAAAATCGCCTAACTCGCGTGTAAAAGCCGTTCTGTCGTCAGTCTCGAGAACTTTAGCTACTATAGTAAAAGCAATTGTACGATTAGCGTGATAGAATTCCCGTTAGAATTGTAAACCGCGGAATCATTTTGGCAAATATATTATGCATATAATGAATATATTATTCATATGATAATTAATTCAATATCAAGCGAAGATAGCGTGATTAATTGAACATAGAAAAAAAACTGAGCTTGCAGTATTTTCTTGTCGCAAGATTACACAACTGGATTATAATTAATAAAAAAAAATAAATTAATGCATTTCTGTTTAATGTTATAATTTAAACAAAGTGTGTATACGTCGCTAATAAAAGAAAATTTTTTTAATGATTATTAACGCGATCTGTGCGCGATGAAGAATCTCGGGCGAGATTTTCTTGCGCGCTCAGATTGCGGAGAAAATTTAAAAATGCGCTCGGCGATTTCTCAAGCAGCCCGCGCGCGCGCGAATGAAACGAGCTTGCGGGGACGAAGAGCTTTCGCACGTGTTACATCTGTTAGTTCCGACGACTGCGACTTGCCGACGGTCGCGTGACGAGAATTTCGCTGCGAGCGAGGAAATGCGCTTTTAACTAACTGTCACCGCCCGATGTTATGAGCCACTCCACGAACCGTGCTCACCCTCGCAAACCGCGAACAAATGCTCGCCTCGTAGTCAACCTCTTCGCGAACTTACAATTAGTTGAGTCCTCGGATAACTGCTGCGATCTACAGGATGTAATTATCATATTTTCGTACGTACCGCAATTTCCAAGAGCATTTTACGGCTATTTAATTACACAGTCTCAGAGAGAAGTCTAAGAGCGGTCATTCGGAACTTGTTATCACTTGTTATCACTCGTTTTAAAAATGAAGGTCTATATAATCATATCGTTCGACATTACCGTTTGGCTCATATCCGTGCTGTGTCCATAAATTTTAGGTCAGAATTGCATTTAATTACATAATTATATAACGCAATGTAATTCCAATTCAAAAATAAATGTAGATAATGTGTTATCGATAAACGGACATGTACCAACGGCAGTGTCGCGAGATTGGATGCGGCCACGTAGTTCCAAATCGAAAATGGATACAGAGAGCAATGTTGAACAAGAATCGGTGAATGTCACAAAAAAATGGCTTCTTTTTGCATTGCATGGTATTTTCAAATCCAAGCAACAAATATTAATAATAATATGTGCTACATCTTTAGAATTTTTTAAAATTTAATTATTATATCATGAGAATAATTAAAATCAATATCGAAATATGCTTGTGCAATAATTTAACACTATCCACCTTGGCAAATGTACATGAATAAAATAATCTTTTTCATAAACATTTGCGAATTTTATAATAGAATTGGCAAATATTCAAACGCTTACGATATTAAAAGAGTTAAACGTGTTTAAAGAAAATGTTTTAATGAATTAAAAAAGATATAAGAATTAAAATCCACAGATTAAGACTTCAAATATCGCCTGAAAATATTTAATCGCTTGGCTTTCAGGGAATCTGCTATTTAAAAATTTCAGCTCAGAGCAAACATGGTTTAAAGATTTATTCATCAAATTGGTAAAGCGGAGCGACTATTAATTTTCCGTAATCGCGCAAAAGAGAAAAGTGACGCGCAAACTCGCAAGCAAAAATGATTAACCGCCCGCGTCATTAGGCGCGGGAAACATTAGGTATCCTGCCAGTCGGCACCCCGTGCCACGTTCACCCACATTCATCTCTCGCATTCTCTGACCCTACTAAACAAATGCGTTCTCTCTCCACAAGCAACCCTTTCCGAGAGCTTAATCAAGTACGCTCGTAACTAAAGCTTACGACCGCGCGCTTCGAACGTTCGGAATCGAGAACTGCTTTCACCATTGTCGCAGCTTTCTCGTGAAAATGCTTTTCATATATTTTACTTAGCTATGACGCACATATCGGTCTTTACGGGTCAACTGCCTGAATCACAATTTCTTTCAATTCTCGTCAGCAACGTAATTCTATTTGAGTTTTATATCAAATTTAAAAAAAAATCGCTTTTTAAAGAACTTTCTAGATATTTTACATTCGAGCAGATAAACTTTTCAATCGCACGGCTCAATTTCAGCTGACTTTGACTGCAACGAAGCCTTTCTAAATATCGCAGTCTTTAATCCGTAAATGTGTTGTAATTAAAGCAAGATTGGGTTAAAGTCCTTATAATGGGCAAGGCGTGCAGAGCCCACTCCAATTTTGGTTGCTAGGAAACTAATCTTCCAACACTTCGTGGATTCCGCGCATTTCGATTTACCGAGATATTACTTCGATTTAACGAATGTCGACGAGAGTCCGAATTAGACCGCGATAGGATGCAACGGAATTTTGCCAACTATTATCTAACGATTCTAAATCCATAAACTCCATCTCTCAGCAGAATAAATTTAAGGCTCTGCACTAACCACTGTAATTATGTTCATGATGTTTTCACAAGAAATTACATGTAATTTTTTCGCCATCAGCACAAACTCTTTAGATTAAAAAGTAGGCGATATTTCTATAAATGCTATTCGTAATAGTAACAGTGAATTTTTCGAGAATTAATTCAATTTTACATATATTCATCAATTTATTATTAAATGTAAATAATAAGAAAATTATTACAAAAAATAAAAGCTTATGTTTTATATCTATAAAGACATAAAAAAGTTGGTAAGATGATTTTATGCGATTACATTCTCAGAATTGTGAAGTAGATAAAAGTAGGCGTAGAAGTAGATATAAGTAGAAAAAAGTTATTAAGATTAAAATAGCTTTAAATGAATTCTATTTTCTTACATGTCAGTAGTTTAAAAAAAACATGTAAAACGTATCGCGGCAGGCACGCCCCGAATGTTGTTCGGTACGTATCGTCTAGCTCTTGAAGATTAGAGAGCATTGTGGCGACTTAAGCAAGATTAAATTTAACGTAAGAAGTTTTGATAGAATTCACTTACCCCATTCGGCGTCTCAGATATCCTCGACTTTCGCATTCCTCGCTGAAACAAAAAGCAACATTTTATTCTTAACAAATTTCTATCGCATATAAATGTTATAAATACGTTAAAAGTATACTAGTTTATGCAATTAAATCCATACGTATTTATTGATCCCAATCAGTTTCTAAATTGATAGCTATCTTCCTTTTCGCTTGTCGTATTGACGGTAGCACGCAACTGAAGAAATCATCGTGGAAAATAAACCGGGATCGAAGGAAACTGCACCGCGCAAGGCGCAAGGCTGTTTCTATCGCGCAGCTCGTCTTGGAAAAAAGGAAGAGAAGAAAAAAAAAAAGGAAAAACAGAACGAGAAACGCACCACTCCACGAATCGGAGTGCCCCATGCTGAATTTCCCTCGAGAAAATCACCTTATCCCCCAACCTCGATCCTTGTTCCCGCAGACAGGAATGAAATATCTATTTGCATACGCGAGCCCCAGTCTCGCGGCGGTCTCTGAACTCCCGGCAAGGTAAATAACGATCTGAAATTCTCGCGGCGGCACCATCGATGGCAGCGGCAGCAATCGCGGCAGCGGGTTGCGAATTGAAGGCTCGCGGCTGCGGGAATCGCGGAGAGAACCGCTTTCTTCGATAAATGAGTTATCTGCTATTTAGTATTCGTCGAACAGCGACTCGAACGGTGGCACTGCGAATTTGCCGTTTCCAATTATAATGGCAAGAATTACCTTTTCGCGCACTCTAGATATGAAAATACAACAATGGGAATATGTGTTGCGTGAGTGCGCAAACCCAAAAATAAAATATTCAACACATTTTGAAACTAAGGCTTAACGTTGCAAAGAATATGTGTGAATAATTGTAACGTATATAAATCACATGTCGATATTTTCTTGTTACATTCGTTACATTAAAATATACTTTAATTCTTGTGCTTTTAACTCCCGCCTATCTATTCCTCCGTTATCGACTCTCGTTATCTAGAGACAGACAGCGAGGCAGCGCCGCTCTGTTATGGTTTTTTTTTCTTCGGCTCGACATTACTTCGGCGTAATCCGATAAATGCATAATCTCGAAGCGCCGTCGTATGCATTACGAAGACTGCGCCGCGAAAAGAGATCAAAGCGCGGACGGATGTTTTACGATGCTTTTATGTCCGGGCTGCTCGCTCGGAGCTAAGGAAAGAGATTAAACGCAAACACGAATGCTACAACGAATCGGCAAGGTAATGTTGAAACGTATTGACTTACGTCTATGCGGGAGTGCTGCAAAGAGACGTATATCAGTTATGGAACCTACGCTGGCGAGGCAATTTCAAGTGCACCTATCCCCGCAAGAATGTCATACGAGAACCTCCCTCTCTATATCGTGTGAGCGCTGTTACGTGTCATAGCTCTCTTTATCCTTAAAACTTAAGTCCTTCGGACATATAAATCATTTTTATATCTTTATATCTTCCTGCGATCAAAACACACAACCTGTATCGATAAACTAATAAACATAGATCTTGAACTTTCATTCCTACGCAAAATGCTCCCTTAAGTAAAATATTATAAAAGTAACTTAAATAATCTAACTCTCCCCTCTCCGCACGAGTTCCTTTCCAAATTTTTCGATAATAAAATACATTCCTAGCTTCTGGAAGGTTCAGATCACAAGTTCTTAGTTCAGTTTTCCTTCGCAGCTCTGACGAGCAACATCGACTAGCAGTTCGAAGTAAAGAATCTTCACAGAAAATATTCTGTTTTATTTCAACATTCATTGCGTTGCATATCAGCAATAATTGATGGCAGCAATGGGATAGTCTGTGTAAGAGTGCGAAAATTTTTTTTCTGCTAAATTTCTGGACTGATTGCTGCATAAAATTCCTCTGAAATCAAACCTTGGAGTGAGACAAAGTTGGAGGCCTGGGCTTCGAGAAAACTTCGCAGCCTGGCAAGATTATCGAAGTAGAAGAACCGAGGTCAATCATAATTTAGTGATATCCCGACGAATTCAACGGAAGCACGCTCTGATCAACCTGCTAAGATCCTGTCTGTCGGCCGATAAAACCACGACGTATAGTCTACGATCTACGAGGTAAAAGGCACAAAGCCATCAGGACGTCTTATAAGTTAGCGGAACAAAATAAGCAGACCAATTCTAATTAATATTTTTATTTGTTGTTCATTTGTTGCTAAAAGTTGCCAAAGAAAAAAATTTGTCGCTTGCAAAATAGGTTTAAGCAATGACAGGAGACCGCTCGGCGCGCAAAGTTACTACAGATTAGTGAATATTCTTTTAGAACAAAACAAAAAAAATTATGTGTATGTCTCAATCTTCCTTTAGTGGAACATTAGTTTTTAAAGAACCTTACAGAGCGACAAATTTTTTTCTTTGGCAACTTTTTAGCAACAAATAAACAACAAATAAAAATATTAATTAAAATTGCTTCTGCTCATTTTGTTCCGCTAACTTATAAGACGTGTCATTAGAACGCTCCTGGATAACTAACGAAAAAAAAAATAACAGCAACAACGAGACTCTGTGGATGGCCAGCGCGAGAAAAAGTCACCTTTTATCATCAACTTATCTACAGCGGCGTAAAATTATCTTCAGCGTCGAGATGCTACGCATCGCATTATTGTAAGTCTATAAATTTTGCAAATTTTAAAAATATTGAAGCGCATTACAATACCAATAGCTCGGAAAGTAACTCGTTAGCTCCAGTTACATTAGTTCCCTTATTAAGCTGGACTTCCCACCATCGCCAAATAAAGTCGCATCTATTAATTAATTTAGTGCTAATTTGTTGCTGTAGTCCGGATTTTGTTACTCTTATCGTGTTAGCAAGAACTGAGTTTATATTAAGTGAGCTATCTTGATATTAATAACTCGAGAAAAAATGATATAATTGGTCAGATATAAATATATATAATTAGTTATGAAAGGATCTGAATTTTATATGATCATATAAAATTGCATATGTTATCAGATCTTTTCATAACTAATATATATTTACATCTGACCATATTACATCATTTTTTTCTCGGGAAGCTTTAAATTAAAAGGTGCGACTTCACTTGGCGATTGTTACGCTGCGCCATGTCTTCCACATGATCAAAGTAAAGTTGACTAAAAGGAATTTGTTGCTCGCATGATTTCAGTACCAAATTAATTTACAGACTCTATACTGTAAAATATATCGTAAACTGAATTTGTTGCTCGTTCTAAAACGTCGAGAATCGACACTTTGTCGTCGTGAACACGATCCGGTGCGCATCGGTGCGCTAAGATCATTGTAGTTAGTTAAAAAATTTATCGCTCGCTTGATTTCGGTATGTAATATGTCAGAACAGGTAGCAAAAAACTGGCAGATCAATATGACGGATCATTCAAAATTATACGCAAACTAAATGATGTAAATTATACGATTAAAAGAGGCAAACATAATCAAATTTTGCATATTAATGAACTAAAACGCGTATATTTTTTGTTACAGAGTGTTGACGTCAATGACGTCAATGATTAGTTCGGAGTCTTCCGAAAACTTTATAAATCAACCATTAAAGCATCTGGCAGGAGTCTACTTCGAACATTTAGGTAACCTTATTATTTATAGTGATCAATGGAAATTTATCAATTATGTTAATCTCGCGCCATTGGAAGAAAAAGAAAAGATACTGACATTTTACGCAAAGGAAATTATAATCTTATGTAATAGCATCTTAACAAAAAATCTTACATGTTCAGGACTACAAGAATTAAAACACATTCAATACAAATTAGCAAAGTTAAAAATAGATAGAGAAACTATTAACGACATAATAGGACGATCCAACGATGAAATTCGTTTCGATAAACGCAGTGCAAGAGTCGAACGTGGTGTGTTCGACTTTGTAGGGCAAATTGAAAAGGTTCTTTTTGGCACACTAGATTCATCTGATGCTAATTATTACAACAAACAGATAGATCTTGCTTATAACAACTCGAAAGAACTGACGAATTTATATAAAAAACAAGTTAGTATCATAAAATCAACCATTAATGACTTTAGTGATGCCTTTGAAAAAAATAGCCAAAAGTTTAAGGAAGTTGACTTTAATTTGAATAAACTTAAGAAGCGGATATCAAATAACACTAGGAAATTAACTAAAATACAAATAAACACAGAAGTAAATTCACATATGATAGAATGTTCCCAAATGGTTTTAGAATATGAAATAGAATTAGAAACACTTACGCAAGCCGTATTATTAGCGCGCCGAGGATTGCTTCATCCAAAAATACTTACACCTAGAGAATTGTTTAATAATTTAAAAAACATGTATGATACGCACAACAAGAGACTACCTATAAAAATGGAACTTGGCCAATTTAGTAATCTGATCGATTCTAGCGACATAAGTATATTTTATAAAGACCATAAATTAGTTTATATCATCGAAATCCCAATAATTGAACAAACCAATTTTATCTTATATCGCGTGATTCCATTACCTATAAAACAAAATGAAGAAAATGTTTATGCGTTTATAAACCTGATAAACACGCACATAGGACTTAGTGCCGATAGACAATTGTATACACATCTAACCGACAGAGACATTACAAAATGTAAAAAGATTAATAGCGCGATGATCTGCAAACAAACAGATCTATTATATCAGGTTTCGTCTGTCCACAATTGTGAATCAGAATTATTGAAATCCGCTAAATTAGAAAAGATACTGAAAGAATGCGATGTCCGCTTACTGAAGATCCATCACACCGGTTGGTATCAACTGCAATCTGTAAATTCTTGGCTGTATACTGCGCCGCACGAGGAAACTCTTCAAATTGTATGTAAAGACAACAAACCGCGTCAAACACAACTATTCTCAACCGGTATAATTCAATTATCTTCAGACTGTAATGCCATTGCGGACAACGTTTTAATACGCAGCAAAACTGTAAACGAATTCAGTATTAACAAATATTTCATCCCTAACATTAATCTTAGTACCAATCAAATATACGAGAATATCAAGAATAGTAAAGTAAATATTTCGGACCTTCACTTG